TATGTTTACACTCCCCTATTTTTGGAGCCTGTTGCAGACCCTGCTCTGGGAGCAGCTGTGTTCATTGAAATGCCAGCCCTACTGCCTATTGATGCTGGGATTTGGGGCACTGAATCCTAAATCCTCAGCGTTTGGCCAACTTCACATGTTCATGACTGTAGTGATGCTCTGGGTATGGAGTTTTGTCAGTAGCAGCTGCAGCAGAGCAGCCAAGAGCAGGAGGCTTTGCCAATTACACGATCCTACTGTTAATTATCTTCATTAAGAACATGCCACTGGGTGACATCTCCACGGTGGTTGGGTCCCACATCCCCAGAGCTGCACCTGTGGGTATGTCTGGAGCAGTCTGAGGGCTGAGAGATGGGACAGTGGGGTGGGGGCATGCAGGGAGCACCCCGTATTCCCCCAGCTCCTTCCTGTCTATGCAGGAGGAAGGGGAGGGAGCAGAGATGCTCCATCCCTGTCCCCAGTGTGTCCCCACACTCAGGATATGAGGGATGGGGAAAGCTGGATTGTCCCCTCCGGTCCCTCCCCTCCCAGCCCGTTCCATAGCCCTCAGACACTGTTTATGAAAAGCAAATGTTTTGCTGTTAGCTAATCCAGCTTGTTTGTGAAAGCCCTGAAGGCTCGTTTTAATTGCGAGTAAATGATTCTTAACGATATAAATCAGAGCCAGCAGAGGCCGGGAGCATTTGTGATATCTTGCACTGTAACCAGGAGTCAAGAAATGAATTAAGCTCAAATTGAAAAGAGGAAGGTTTCAATCTGAAATTGGGCAAATACGAGACTTCATCAAGTAGAGATAATCACTGTGCAGGATAATAATGAGGCTTCAGCTTAGCAGTTTTGCATGGAGAATCCTTAACGTGCCCGTGGCAGATTTTGCTGCTGCAAGCATTGCAAGAGACAACTCAATAAGGGACCCAATAGGAAGCAAACACCATGGCAGCCCCAGTGCCCCTGCCCTCTCTGTTTGCATCTCGGCCCCTTTGGGTCCCAAAGCCGTGGGGATCCCCAGCACTGCCCCAGTAAGACCTTCCATGTGCTTACAATGGGTATTTTTGGGAAATTCCTTTGAAAAAATGGCCTCACATGGCAGTCTGGGAACAGGAACCCCATCCCTGGGCTGTTTCAGGGCCGTGGCACTGAAGAGTGGTGATAGGACCCAGCAGGGAGGTGGTGGCTGACCTTGGGGACGTGGAAGGTTGTTTCCAACCTTGATGATTCCATGATTCTCAACCTCTACTGAGAGCGCTGTGCTTACAATGAAGGAGCAAGAACACATCCTCACCTCTACCCTTAGTAACTGGAAGCTGATTGGCTTTGCTTAATCTGCTGTGCAGCTATCAGACTAAAGACAGGACAAAAGCATTAATGTGGATTGCCAACAAGCTCACGATCTCCAGGTAGGAAGGGGAAATCCATCGGGCTAAAAGGAAAGAGCTCATGCAGCCGCTGCCCTCGCTGTGCTACGTGCTGTGTCCTCAGAGTGCATTAGTCATGGAGATGCCATGAAGTCACTCAGGATGCTTGCCGGACTGAGCAGAAGGGAAAAGTCAAGCCCAAAGGTGAGGTGAATTGTTTCTTGGCTGTAAATTATCTTTTTGAAGCAGAGATGAGGTCTCTTCCGGGAAAGGGCTGAAAAATTCCACTGCGAATTCAGGAAAATAAATGTATTCACATCACTGCCCACCTGGGCCAGCACCCAACCTCTGAGAGCACCAGGGGCTGGGGCAGCTCTGTTCCTTCACCCCACTCAGCTGAGGCACTGCGAGACAAGCAGCCATGAAGGGCTGACCTGAAACCAAAGCAAAGCCCAAGCTTCTGGCATCCTGCTGGAAGAGGAAGATGAACTTGTACCCACACTGGGGGCAGTGATACCCCATGAGTCCCAAGGTGTGGAAATGGCCTTCTGCTCTCCTCCAGGCCCCCAAAAACAGCGTTATTGCATGACACTGTGACCAATCCCAGTACAACAGCCCCTGCTGCCCCCTGTTCTGCTGCACGTGGAGCACATCACTTCTCCCAGAGAGCTCCCAAAAACAGGAGGATCCCAGCCAGGGTCACTCAATTATGTAGGAATCCTGTGGGTCTGGATAGCACGCAGTCCTTGGGGACATCCTTGGGCTACCCTGACACTGTGCACCGAGCACCCACAAGGATGGAGGGGCACTGGGAGCACCATGGTGCACAAGGGTTAATAGAACTGGGTTGCTCTCTAAATGTGAAAATAGGCTGCTTCTGCTGGCAGCGTGGGGTCTGTGGAGCAACATTCATCGTGCTGGGGATGCTCAGAACTGACGAGACAATCTCAGGAGTAAAGATGGATTTTTAATGCATTTATTATTGTCAAATATCTTCAGTAACCTTCCCAGCACGGTGATGGATTTTAAGACAAAATTCCAAAGTAAAGGAGAGCATCTTTGCCAGGCAGGCTGGTTAAACAGCAGTGCTGCCTGCAGCCTCCTACCCCTTCTCCTGATGGGGCTTTGATCACCTCTCACACAGCCATGGCTGTTTCCACTGTGCTGGGATGAAAGGAGATGGCCCCATGGGGGGATGTGTCCCTGGGTGATCCCTGGCCAGCCCCAGCTCATACTTCAGTACATCCCCATGGCTGGGGGCTTCTGTGCAAGCAGAGAGCAGTTAGGTACACCAATCCCATCCAGCCATCCACACACAGAATAGGGCAGAACACAATAGCAGGGTACCACTGCCATCCATCCACATAGGGTAGGACAGAGCGTGACAACTGGGTGCCAATCTCATCCATCCATCCAAATCCACACATACAGCGTAGGATGGAATAGGATAGCTGAGCACCCACCCATAGGAATATAAATATATATAATATATATATATATTTTTAAGAGAAGAGCCCTTTACCATTTCAGTCACACCACAGACTTAATTTCCACGCTGCACTTCTGACAGCACAAGGAGCAGAACATTACCACACTCCCGTAAGGCTGTGCTGTGTTTTGGGGCCAGCTGCTTCTCCCCACCAGGGTAGGACATCGCTTTCAGCCTGTTGAACTCCACAAACATCTGCAGCGTTTGGGAAAGCCCCCGAGTGCTGGGCTGAGCTGTGCCATGCAGCACCTCAGGAGGCAAAGCTCCTGCACTCCCACCCGCGGTGCTTTCAATGAGAAATTGCTTGTTGACGCACATGCTGCTTTGTGATTACCCAACTACAGTGCAACGGATCCCACTGGCACGCTGCAGAGCTTGGGAGTGAATACAAGAGGCAGGCTTTGCATCTTTTATATGCGTTAAACATCAGCTGAAACGCAATTAATTCTTCCCACCTGCACGCTGGGGATCACAGGGTGCTGCAATATTGATGGGCTCTTGTCATGAGCCCACCCCAGGGTCCTGATGTTTTGCAGGCAGATGGCTTGCCCCAGCTGAAGCCACCGGGTGGGACGTGTGGCCATGAACCCCCTCCCCTGGAATGGTGCCACCTCCTGTGGTGCTGCCCCACTACTTGCACTGCTCAGTGCACAGCAGCCATTGCCATAACCCGGTCAAGAAGCAACATTCATGAATTATTACAGCCAAAATCCAGCACAGAGGTTGCCCTGATGAACTCCAGGTGAACTTCCTTGCAACTACAAAAGGGATTGAGGCTGGCTGGGTGCTCAGATAGGGCTTCTGGGAATACTGGGGCAGTGGGAAGAGTCCAGTGGCTTCACCCACACCGACCTGAGTCCTGGAGGCATTCAGGGTCACCTGGAGACCCTCAAAGTCAGGCTGGATGGGAATCTGAGCACCCTGACTGAGCTGTAGGTGTCCCTGTCCATTGCAGGGGAGTTGGAATGGGTGACCCTTAAAGGTCCCTTCCAGCTCAAACAATCCTATCATTCCATGAAAAGCTGCTTTGGACCAAAAGGTGATGTTCCCTGATGGGCATCACCAGCTTGGGCTGATGCTACTGGTCCTCACTGAGTATTATGGGATGGATTAGGTGTTCAATCCAACCCAAGCTCCTTCCTCATCCCATGCGGTCACCCCAGGGCCAGAGTTAGAAAATCCCCAGCTCCTCAATGTTAGCAGGCCAGGAGTGGGGGAGGAGAGTGGAAAAAAAAAAAAATAAGGGACTTTTGCAGAAGGGACACAAAGCAATCTTTCCCTTTCCTCATTCTCTAACTCCTGCCCATTTCTGGGGTGATGCCACCCTCACAGGAAGCCTTCCAATAGACTCCTGGTGGTGCCAAAGCCAGCTGTTGGTTCTAGTGATGCTGTACAGAGCTGGCAGCTCCACTGGGCAGGGCTTCAGCCAGTCAAAGCGCATGTGGGACATTGCTAGAGGTTGAGCTTGAGTGTGTTTCAAGAGAAAAGCAGCATTTAACTGGATGAAAGCAGAAAGACCATTTTTTCTTCTCCTCTCAATAAATGTAAGTTCCACTTGCTCCCAAGTTGACCTAATAATTGTAATTCTAAATTAAATGTAAATGTATTGGCTGCTGGTAAAGGTCATCCCACAGAAAACGGCTGTGTTTGCCTCTTCTTCAAATGCATGAATACTAAGCATGTATAATTCACAGAATCATTAGCAGATAAAGACATTCCCCACCTTTGCTCCCTCACTCTTGAGCAAATCCATTGCATAAGTCAGCGAGCAAAAGGAAATCTGTTCAGCCTTACCTTCTATAGCCAGGTCTGTCTGCCAGAAAAAGTGCAGTGCTCAGCACAGCTTGGGACCTGGCAGAAAGCTGCCCGAGCTTAGACACAGCTTGGGCTGTGACTGCAGGACCCATAGCTGCACCCAAAGCTCCTCCAACCCCAAGGAGGGAAGCCCTCAGTCCCCCTCCCACCCAGCAGCACCCACAGAGATAGGACACACAGATCATAAAGATTGCTCTAAACCAGAAAACAGGTGCCTTATCATGGCTGTGCTGTTGATTCTAATTGCCCGGAGCAGCCTCACCTGGGACCCCCAGCTCTATATAAACTCCAGCTCTTCTTTTTCCCCCTCCCTTTTCAATCTGAGCTGATTGCTGAGGGCTGGTCACTGGGGTCTGGGCTGCTCTGCAGGGTGGTTCCATCAAGTGTTGCCTCCATCCTGGGTACCAAGCCATAGGGCTGAGCTCTGTAACAGTGCAACAGCCCCTAGCACTCTGATAATATCAGGGCCTGCTGACAGCATACAGAGGACAGAGCAGGAGTTGATTCCTCCTGTTGTGCCTGGTCAGCAGTCAGTGAGCCAGGAGAGCAGCAAGCAGCTCTGAGGGCAGGTAAGCACCAGCTGCAGCTGGTAGTTGGATTTCAGAGCTGCTCCTGCTTTTGGGTAGGGGACTGGGAGGTGATGGGTGACTTTAGGTCCTTGTTGCTGTCTCAGACAGAGCTGTGTCTGCCCCAAAACTCATGGGGTGCCTTCTTGCTTCATATCCCACCTTGTCCTGCAATGAGGAAAATCTGAGTGCTGGTGGGGACTTTGACTGGCCAGGTTCTGCCAGGTGCTCCCAGAGGCGAGGAGATGTGCTGTTGTCTTGTGTTGCACTGAACCCCTTTGAGGGCTCATTGTAGGAGGTGCCAACATAACTTCCCTAGTAGCACCTCCCCAAATCTTAATAGGCGCATCCCCTACACGCTGGGCTCTGTCCTTGAGCCTTTCTGCAGTTGCATGGAGGGAGGCGGGAGGTGGCAGCGTCCTGGGGAGGTGTTTGCTCATCCTGACACCTTTATTTGCATGGAGGCATTTGGGGCTTTTTGTTGTTGGCTGACTTATTGTGTGAGTTCTCAAAGCTGTGATACTGAATTATAAATTGAGACACTGTATCTATGAAAGATTGCTCTTTGACTATAGGCAGCATTATCGAATATGGCAGTCACAATAAATGCGTGCTATAAAGCCTAGCTAAATATGCTCTGCAATCCAAGATGTGCAAATCAAGCAAGGAGAAAAATAACTGTAATATTTTTTTTCCAAACAATTCCAGAACCTTGGGTGATGATTTTGTTTAGCTTTATGTGTTGGCTCCTTGGCGAAACGCTCTGGCAGCAGATAATGAAATGACCTACTTCTGCTGTCTTTGCTCATGACAACACATAAATTAAGAATTATGCCCCTTCAAATTAAACTTATTGTTTTTATGGAAGCAGGAGCTCAGAGCAGGGCTGTGTGCTGGGGGCAGGAGCTGGTGCTGCCCGTCCCCTGGGGCTGAGTGTGGAGGATGCTGTGCCCATCAGCTCTGTCTCCCAGGGACCTCTTGGGGTTTCAGGACCTAGCAGTGCTGCTTAGCCATGGCTTAAGTAAAGCTCTGGGTTTAAGCTAAATGCTGACTTGAAGGATCCTGTAAACTGGTATCACTTAGAGCAAATATCCAGGGAGACCCTCCCTCTCAATGGGGATTGCTGTGCCTCTGCCTGCATGAGGTGTGTTGTAATACTTTCTGTCCAGGTAACAGCAAAAGGATGCTTGCTTTAACTGAATTTTAGCTGGGGAGCACAGTTTGCAGCCTGTGGGGCTGGGACTTGGGGTGGGGGTCTCCGAGCTGTGATGGAGGCACTATTGAACCAGAGATTATTTGTTAAAATGATATCTGTGTGTGGCTGCTGCTGACTTGGAGCAGAGAAGCCGGTCAGGACAAGGTTGTTTAATAATGCTGTGTAATTTCCTGAGGATGCTGAGGGCTGGGAAGAAGGAGCGAGGTCTGCGAGAGCTGGGACGGCTCCTGCCTTCCCCAAACACATTCAGTAGCCTGTGTGGTCCCTTACGAAACCAAGTGCTGTATTTCCATAAGCAGAAGGCTAAATATAGAGCTCGCTGTGCTCTGTTTCTGCACCCTGGGGGCACTTTCCACATGTGCCTGTCTGCGCTGGGGCTGTGAGAGAGCGCGGGGACATGGGGACACCTGGAGCAGGATGGGCCCATTGGCTGGGGATGGTGCTGAGCTCCTCCCACACGGGCTGCAGCTGTTCTCCATGCTGATGCCACCCCTGAAAATGTCTTATTTAGGGCAGATTTTATTTTCCAAAGCAGACTGAGGCTCAGTCTGAGCTGCTTGGTGCCTCTCGTTTGGAGAGGTGTGCTGGTAGGCTGATCGAAGGTGCTCCAGCCTTATGGCTTGATTTTCTTTTCCCTTTTCATGGCAGATTGATTTTCCTGCCAATGTGCTCTCCCCCAATGAAGTTCCCATCAGTGCTAAGTTCAGGCCCTGCTTTGTTCTAATTATTGCTCTCTCCACACAAAGTGAGTGAGGCAAATTCTGTGGTCTATTTTAAGGTGTAAGGGAGATGATAGCCTTGCACAGCTGGGGAGGCTGTGGGGAGTGTTGACTCAAAGCAGCATCTTCCCTCCTACAGGATGAAAGCATGAGCAGCTGTTTGCTGGGAAGCCCCTGGGAATGTGATGCCCACCTGACATGGAGCTGTCTCCCCCCTGGGGTCTTGGATAAAGCCAGGACCTGCATGCTGCCCAGAGGCTGTGCAGAGAGGGGCTGGCCTGCTCCAGGGTCACTCCTTTCCCAGGCTGCAGAGTAGGATTTCAGCCTTGTGCTGCCCTGGTTATCACCAACTCCCCCAGAGATCTCTTTGCTCTTGCCAGATAGCCAGTGCTCAAAGCCTCCCATAATAACATTATGCAGTAGTAATGCAAACTCAGCCACCCAAACTCCAGGTGAGATCCTTGCAGGCTGTGCTTGGAGCCATGTCTCAACCAATAGAAGTGCACCCCTTCCTCCTTCCAAACTAAACTACAGAGCTGACCCTGTAAGCCACTCCAGCTCCATGCCCACCTGAGCATAACTCCTCGTGGGAGGGCAGCAGGCGGGCTGTGGTGCTGTCATTGTGGCATTGCCTTACCCACCAGTGAATGGGTGTTGCTTTGGGGAAGACAATGTAAGAGATATTGGTAAATCCTGTTGTGAAGGTGGGAGCCAGGTGCAGTGTGGAAGCAGTGATGACTTGTGCAGCTGGGGAACAATGCTGCTGTGGGTGGGAGGCTCAGTGCTGGAGCTCCATACTGCTCTGCAGGTGTAGGAGACTGGGGCTGGGAGATAGAGCTGTGAGAGATGAAAGTGCCCTGAAACCAGAGCAGCCCATGTGTGCCTGGAAAGAAGTCCTGGAGTTTGGCCAGACCTTAATCCTGTCCTGTCACTTGGTACCACTGAAAAGAGCCTGGTGCCAACCACTTGACCCCTGCCTTTTGTTAAGGATTGATTGGATCCCCTCTCAGCCCCAGCTGAGCTGGAGCATGTGGAGTTGGATCTCAGCTCAGCTCAGTGCCATTTTTCAGTTGAAATGCCGTCTTACTCTGAACATCCAAATGTAGACAAAAAGGCAATTTGGAGATGGCATTTTTACCAACTACCTCAAAATGTCCTAAAATAATCCACCAGGAACACGGGAAGGCTCAGCCTGGAGGGAGCACTGGAGATCCTCCATGCCACCCCAAAGCAAAGCCAACCTGAGCTGGATTTACCTCTGAATTTATGCTGCTTTTTTTTTTTTTTTTACATCTTTGAGCACAAACCTGATTATTTTCTACTTGAAGCAACCCCCAAAACCCGATTTCCATCAAAAAAAGTTTTAAAAGTTTAAATATGGCAAACAGTTGAAAAGATGGGTGCGGAAATAAGTACTTCAACATCAAACATTTGCTGGCCTATCCTGGATCCCTTTTAGGGACACCTGTCCAACCTGGGGATGCCCTGCATGGGCTGTGCCTTGTCCCTGCCCCTTGCAGAGCTGCTGCCATGAGCACAAAAGGCTGAGCTGAAACCTCACAGCACTGAGTGTGGAAGAGGCACCTTTAAAGGCAGTTACCGGTGTGTGCATAAAACCATCTCTGTTTTATTACTCCCATTTTGTTTTTCTTCCTGTTACTAATCTCATTATGCTTAGGAGTGTAAATTTAGGTTGGCACAAATCTGTATTGCTAAAATATTTTACCTTAAGTTCTTCGAAGCTCTCTCCATCTGTGAGGATAATGCTAAGTATTAATTAACCAGCTAATCCTATGCAGCGCTTGCGAAACATAAAACACTGTGCGGAAGCAGGTCCAAAGCATGATTCTGACCTCATAACAAACTTTGGGGAGAATGATTCAGACACTGTCTGTGCTCAGACAGCGCCTCCTTGCTGCTCTGTGAGCTGCTGATTGGTGTCCCAAACCCACAGCCATGGCTGACCCAGTGCTGAGCCTTTGGGTGGCACCATCTCTGCAGGACGTGGAGGCAGAATGAGCATTTTGGTGTGAGTTTTGCTTATGTTCTGAATTATTGAACCAGGTGGTAAATGCCTCTTGTGATGGCGTGTGGCAACTGACCTCTGCTCCTGCACCCATGGCTGCAGTGACAGGGCCAGCAGTGATCCCAGGGCAGGCTTGGCCACAGCTCTCCAGTTTGGAGAGGAGTTATAAAGTCAGAGCCCAGCTTAGAGAAACCTCTTTTGCTGTGGGCTGCGTGGGTGTCCCATGGCTGTAGGACCCTGGCTGTGAGATGAGGACAGCACCTGGGCCTGGCCCTTTGTTTGGGGGCACTGGGCTCCCCCTGAGGGGATGCAACCTTTTGTACTGGAGTGATTCAGAGTTCACATAATGTCACTAGAATCAGGATCTGGAATGCAATTTCTAATTAAGTGTTGCTCTGATATTTCAAATTTTCTCCCAGCTTCACAATATTCTGATAATTGCAGCCTCACTCCCACCCCTCTGGCTTTAATTCGCAGCCCATCACAATGCTGGTTAGAAGAATCAATCTTTAAGGTCATTATCTTGAGCTTTTTCCCAATATGTTCTCCTGTAGTTTGACCGAATCGTTGTGTTCTTCCTTCAGATCTATGTTTTTCCCCCTCTGTGGCTGCTGGAGACAAATGACCCTTGGGTGAGGAACCATCCCCATGGCTGAGCACTCCTGGCTCTGCAGGGCACAGAGCGAAAATGTGCCCCCAAAGCATTGATCACTGCAGACTCTGATTACAGCACACTTCTCACTGTGGCTGATGGGGCTCTGTGTATATTTGAGCAGTGCACTGACAGCTCTGGGTGTTATCTGCTGCTTTGCTTTGTCCCACAGAGCATCCTCCGTGCTGCAGGTGGGGATGAGACCACAGTCACACTGATGAGAAGCTTGTGTGGCATGTGGCCTCTTATTGGAGGTACAGGGAAAGGAGGAAAACCAATTTAGAGACCTTAAGAATGAAGTCTCAAGTGAAGTATTTACTTTAACACTACTCCTTATCCCTGTTCCTCTTAGGCAAAGAGCTTTTACAGCCTTGTTTGGCTGCTGTCTGGATGGCAGTAAGGACAGTAATAACTGTCTTTTGAGGGGCAGAAAGGAAAAAAATGAGCCAATATATGCTACAGAAACTGCTGCTGTTCTTCTTGGGGCTTAATGCTGTTTCCTGAGGCTGAAGACCAGAACCTGTGCAGCTCTGGGGCAGCTGCTGGCCCTGCTGTGCTCTCACTGCCCTGCAGATCCCACACAGCACAGCACGCTGCTGCCTGCCGTGTCTCAACCCAGTGCTTGCTGGCACTATGTTAAAGGATTCTATTTTCTCCTGTGCAGAGGTTTTCCTTCTCCAGCCATTCTGGCTTGTTCTCTGCACCCTTGCCCTGCTGTCCCACAATTAACAGCTGTTTCCCTCTACTTGCAGCCTGGTGCTTTCATTGCCAGCTCCTGGTGTGCTGGAGGTGTCTGCAGTTCTCCCAGTGATGCCTTCTCCTATTTCCAATTTTTGCTGCCTATTTTTATTTCCTTTTATCTCAAATCCTTTTTTTCCCACCCAGAAATGATCCCGCCAGAGGGCGATTCTGTCGGTAATATTGCTTTTGCATTTTAGACTTTTCAAGGACTAATGAACTTTATTAGATTATAATGAACTTATTACTCAGCGCTGCTGACCTGCTTTCTAAAGAAGTTGAATTATTATTTGGAACAGGCCTGTTGAGGGACGGCTTTTTTCTTTTTGCAGTGCAGCGTTGGGCTCATTAACTCTTTGGATTTCACTTTGTTATTTGACTTTGGTTATCTGAAGATCATAGAATGGCCCAGGTTGGATGGGACCTCAAGGATCGTGGATCTCCAACATCCCTGCCACAGGCAGGGCCACCAACCTCATTTAATACCAGCCCAGGCTGCCCAGGACCCCGCTCGACCTGGCCTTGCACACCTCCAGGGATGGGGCATCACAGCCTCTGTGGGCAGCTGTTCCAGCACCTCACCACTCTCACAGTGAAGAAAGATAAGATCCACTGGAACACAGCAGCTCTGTGCTCTGGGGAGTATGGGCTGCAAGGATGTAGAAATCCAGCCTCTGGGAGATGTACCAAAGCTGCTGGCTCCCATCTCTGCCTTCCAAGGCATTGCTGTGTCTTGGCACCATGGGAGGCTCTTGGGGACACTGAGAAATGTTCCCTGGCCAAGTACTGAAAGTCTTGAAGCTGAGGTGTGGGCTCAGGAGGTGCTGGAGGTGTTCATGGTACAATCTCTTGTGCTTTGCTCCTCTGGAAGAGGGATTGATCAGCTTGGAGGAGAGGAGCTCAGGGGAAATCTTACAGCTGCCTGGAAGGAGGTTGTGGTGAGGGGGGTCTGCCTCTGCTCCCAGGTAACAGAGATAGAATGAGAGGTGATGGCCTCAAGGTGTGACAGGGAGGTTCAGGTTGGATATTAGGAAACTTTTTCTGAAAGTGGTGATGCAGTGGCACAGCTGCTCAGGGAGGTGGTGGGGTCACCATCCCTGCAGGTGTTCAAGAGTTGTGGAGATGTGGCACTGAGGCGTTTGGTGGGGCTGGGCATTGTGTTGGTGTCTGCTCACTGCCTGCTGAGCCCTGTGCTCAGCTCTGTGTGAGCAGCAGGGGATGGCAGCAATGTGAGTGCATGAGCCAGGTGCTGGCAGGACAGTGCTCATCTTTGTGATGCGCTTTGTTGGTCCAGAGGGAAGGGGGCAAGGGGAAGGGGCCTGGTTGAGCTGGCTGTCCCCATATCCAACTGCAGCCCTACTGAGCAGCCAGATGGGAAGGGCTGTGACAGCAGGAGGTGTGGAGAGAGGAAACATGGACAGAAAAGAACCACCAATTCCTTTCTATTGCTTCACTTCCACCTGCGCAAGTCATTGGAGAAGAGGCAGGGAATGATGGATTTGTGCCCCAGAAATTCCATTTCTAGAAGAGTTTTGCTACTGGAGGGAGGGGCTGAAGGGGTTGGGTGTTCCAGAAGTCCCAGAATGAGCTGGGACTTCTGAGCACTTGTGCAGAGTGAAGCTGGAGCTGGATGCACCTTGTGGAGTGGGATGGGGTCTGAGCCAGTGGCACGGGGATGTCGGTAGGTGAGCAGTGGGGCGGGGATGCAGGGCAGGAGGGCAGAGGCTAGCACTGCTGGGTGTGCATTTGTGGATGAATATTGCTGGCAATTATGATAATGGCTGGGATACCCAAACCTGACATCTTCCTTGTGGATGATGAATAAGCTGTCTGACTCCTGTACATTTTTTATTCAGAACCTCAATGCCAGCTAATCCGGCGCTCCTGTGCTAAATGCTAATGAGGAGCGTGCTGCCTGCCGCCCATACTGAGCAGGGAGGCAACTCTTGGGATCAAGAGGGTTAAGTATTGAAATTGTCTCGTACATTAAATAATTAGTAGACAAACAGATTGACTTCTCGAGCCATCACCAGCCCCATCTGTTTCCTGTGTGCTTGCTCTCCCTTTGCTGACGGATAATTGGGCAGAGCTGCACTGCGTTCCTCACCCCACGCGTGGGCACGGGGCAAGGAGAAGCGAGGCTGCCCCATGGCCAGTGGGGAGCAGCCAAACCCCACACGGGTGGTGATGGAGCGGTGTAGATGCTATTTGCCCATCCATGCACACAGCACTGCCGCCGGACCCCTTCCAGCTGGAAGAGAAACCGAGGGCAGGGGCCCAGGAGGAATAATTCCACTGCGCTTCAGCCCAGCTCACAACAAAACAGCACGGAGCACAGGCTGCGGGCCGGCCGGGGGGAATGCTTTGAAAGGCCATTTGCTGCACAGAGATGTTTCTGTAAATGGTCCAGATGGGGGCTTGAAAGCTTTTATTCCTTTATTTCCTTTTCGGTGCTGATGCTCGAAGGTTTCCTGTAATTGCTTCCCTGTTTTTACTGCTCTGCGGCTTTCCTGAAATATTTTTTGTTTTAATTACAATATTGATTTAGATACAGTGCTAAAAAGACCCCTGAAAAAAGTTAATGAAAAGCAATTACCAAGGAGTGCTTTAATGGAAAGGAGCTGCGTGGGAGCCAGCCTTGTCCTTGTGGATGTCGGTACGGGTGGGCCCTGGGAAGGGGCACATGGGTTAATGTGTGGGCAGGGCTCTGCCCTCCATCAGGCAGTGGGGAGGGGAAGTTGTGCCCACACCTCTTGGCAAACCACGTGCAGGTGCCCAAACCTTGCTCAGCCTGAGTACGGGGCGATGTGAGGCACCCTACTGCCCTCCCCATCAGCACAGCCCTGGTGGCACCAAGCTGTGCTCCTTGCTCTGCTCTGCTCTCCCCTGCTGGATGCCACAGGGCGACCTTTTGTGCCGTGTTCTGATTTTTTCTTTTTTTGTAGAAGGGCTCTCCCATAAGGCTGTTACCATGACAGATCGCTGCTCAGCGGCGTGAGTGTGACGTGGGCTGTGGAAGAAAGGAGGCATTGAGAGGCACTGAATGTTATCTTGTCAAGGTAATAAAAGAGATGAACCTTAGGCGTGCCATGGAGAAGTTGACTTTTTTCTAAAATATGACATATTGCTGGGAAAACTCTATTAAGAATTTTTAAAGGTGAAAACCCTTCATCCAGTGGACTCCTGAGGAGGGTTCTTTGGCATAGGATATATAAAGAAAGGCTTTGCCCTCAGATATTCCAGCATGAAAGGGAAGTCCTATGAATACTCACATGATTAATGAGACAGAGGACTCATAAATATGCCGGAAAATCCACAATGGCTGGAGATGAAATAGATGCCTTGTTGAGATGCAAATATAGGGATCCTACAAGGTGGTGCTCACAGCCTGGAAAATACCATGCCAGGGTTTGCACAGACCTTCCTGGGATGTGCAGCAGCAGGCAATATGCTGAAATATATCCTCTGGTATAGCCTTTGCTTTTTCCCATTGCATTCACTCCCATCATTGCAATGGGATTGTATGTGGGTCCATCTGGTTCCATCCTGCAGTACTCTGGAGGATGCTGAGTACATGATTGTGGTGTTGGGCACGTTTACTGGGTGCTGCAGGCTGGGTGCCACCTCTGGATCCGAGGTGGTGTAGGAAGGAGCACAATTCCACGTCTCCATGCTGGTCGTGGGGATGTCATGCTCACAGTGTGTTCTTGCAGGGTCAGCACAGGGGGATCTGCTGTGTCCATTCCTTCTCAGCTCCCTGCCCTGCAGATCTGGCACTGTAGGATCACGGAATGGCATGGGCTGGGGGGGATATCAAAGGTGATCTATTTCCATCCCCTTGCCACAGAGGTGGAGAGGGGTTCCAACCATTAAATAAGGCACCAGCTCAGGGTTGTCCAGGGCCCCATCCAGCCTGTCCCTGAGTACTTTCAGGGATGGGAAGCCTACAGCTTCTCTGGGCAGCCTGTGTTGGAACCTTAGCACCTTTTCATTGGAAAAAAAAATTTCCCCTGATATCTACTTGAAGTCTCCTCTCCTGGTCTGCTGCCAGCCATGGTTCAGTGTGGGTCTGAAGCACAGCTATGGGCTGGGGTGCTTGGTACTGGCAATGTGGCAATGCTTCCCATCCATACCCCAGCAACAGGACCTCAGCCACATGTAGGGATGACTGCTGGGGACAGAGACATCTGTGCCAACCCCAGATTGCTGCTCCATGGAGAACACCTGGCTCAAGGTGTGGGTGGCTGTAGCTGGGGGAGCCCATGGCAGTGGGGGACTTCCTATACTCAGTACCACAGCATCCCTGCAGTGGGAATGCTCAGCACCACCAGGGGTTGGGATGCACTAGTGCTGTCATCTGTTACCTGAGCCATCGTCATGGAAACGAGGAGCTGGTGATAAGCAACAGGAAGCATCCCAAAAAGCAGCCTGCCATGGCTGTGCTGGGAGATGAGTCAAGGTGATGCTGGTGCTTGATGCAAAATTGTGCTGAGCTCAATGCACTGAGGATGTTCAGGGATGGAAAGAGCACAAACAGCCCACCCTGCATGGCTCCTGGGTAGAGATTGGGGATCACCTTGTCACATCTAGCCTGGGATCATGCTGGGAAAGGAACTTGGGGTAATTTGGGCCACAGTGTTCACCAGCAGAGGCTGTGAGAGAATGGCATAGCAATTTCCCCATACAATCCAGCCCAAACCCAGCCCCTGGGTCATCTTCAGCCTAATTATGGACTGGGGAAATGCCTGTATCCACACAGGTCCTCTGAGCAGGTTTGGGGTGGAGAGGTGCCTTTGGTGTAGGGCCTGGGGGGGTGAAGGGGAGGGCATCTCAGACCACTCTATGTGTGCTGAAGAAATTTTAAGATTGGATGCTTTTTTACATGATGTGGTCTTGTTCCTGAAATATTAATCATCGGAAATACAAGCGGCTGGTGGTGATGCTCAGCACTCTCCTGCTCCCACCCACTGAGCTCCATCCCCACGTCCCTCCTGGGCTCTGGATGACGGATGGTTCTCCTCCTCACTCCCTCTCACTGATTCCTCTCTTTTTGCTAGGTACAGTTGTCAGCAGCAATGCCAACTCTTCCCCTATGAATACCAGTGCATCATCAGCCCTGCATGGAGTGTTTCAGCTCAGCAGCACTGTGTGTGTCCCCAGGCATTGGCAGCTGGTACTGAAGGTGGTGGCCCCAGGCTGGCAGCAGTGAGTGCTGCTTTTCCATGCACAAAATGCAATCAGCATCCAGCTGCTATTACCAGCACTGCTCATTATTGATGATGGCAGCTATCACACCTCTATGTGATGTGGACAGCATCTCTCAGCCCTGCCCTGAGCCCAGTGCTGGCTCGTCCCCATCCAGGTGCCTCCAAGCATCCCCCAGAGCTGCTTTGGGGTTAGACCTGTGTCCTTATAACTTGCAAACACCACTGTGCAGCCTTCTGGAGCTCTGAGATGCACAGGTCCTGTTTTGCACAGTGCACTGAAAGGGAAGTAATGGATGTCTCCAGCTTAATGGTCTAAAAGTCTGTCTTGTGCAGAAAACCCATCGTCCCCAAATCCATTTTCATTTATAACATCATGAGCAGTTCTACTGGCAGCGGTTTTTCCTTCATGTATTTATTTATTGGAAGGAGAAATTCCCCATCCTAATATAATGCTCTTGCTTGGATTGAGTGGCTGAAATTTGGAGTTCTGAAGCTCCAGCCCTCTGCTCAGCATCTCCCCATGTCCTGCGGGAATGGAGCATCTCAATGGGTAAAGGCAGAAAGGCAAAGCAGCTGCCAGAAAACAGAAAGAAGCAGAGCTCACCAACCAAACCCAGAGCACCTTTGGTATGAGCTGTGCTGAAAATCCAAGAGGAGCCCCGTGTTGACCCAAAGGATGAGCTGATACCAACCAGGTCCCAGCTGGCCCTGCCCATGTGGTGGTGGTGGTTGGTGCGGTGCTGCTGGAGGAGCAGGGCATTTGTCATCGTGTCGGTGATGACAAATGGCTCTGCTGAGTAGAGAAATGGGTTATTGATTTGTAAGCGGAAGTGTGGGTGAGATGGTGCCTGCTGTGTCCACTGCTCCCAGCAGCACTGGGGACATGAAGGAAGAGATGCAGGCAGCCCCACTGTGCTGCAACCACCCCCCAGCAGAGTCCTCTGCGCTCCTTCCACCCCAGCCAGGCTCCAACAGAGCACTGTCAGAGCTCGGTGCAATGCATACAGCTGCTGCATGGAACCTGAGCCCTCTGCTAAGAGCTGGGGGTGTGAGAACCCACATCCATGATATGCCCTACATTGGGGGCTGCAGCTCCCATGGTCTTCTCCTTGGAAAGCAGCCTGTTGTCCTTTCCTTTTTTTTTTTTTTTTTCTTCTATGTTTAGCTGCTGTTGCTTTACCCCCATCACACCTTAAACAGCCCAAGTGCAATTAATCACCGTTTGCTTCTCTGTGTTTGCATGGGATTCCTGATTCACAGTAAATCCTGTGGGGGAAGAGATGCAATTATGAAAGAAATGCCTATTAAAAGGAACTATATTTGCCATAAAAAATGTCAGGACAATCATCCTGTAGCTGTTTGCAGCATTGCCAGCTGCAGTATACAATCCTGGCACTCTAGCCAGGCTGTGGGGAGTTGAATAGGAGCAGGATGGGGCAGCACACAGCTGGAAACCAGAGGAGGGATCAATGATTTGCTGTCAAGTGAAAGGATGGATTGAGCGACTTTCTGCAGGAATCTGCCCTTGGTCTAATAGGAGTCAGTGTTTTCCCTAACGATCTGAATGATGGAATATTCACTGCTACGTCCGCAGAGAGTTGAGATGGGAATAAGTGCTGCAGTTGCAGAGAAGGAGACTTCTCGTGGCCTGGCAGGAAGGACAGCTTGTGCTGGGTGCTCTGCTGGGGGCCGTGGGGGCTCTGCCATTGAGTCACAGAATCATAAATGTTGGAAAGATCTCTAAGACCAGTGAGTCCAACCTCCAGTCCATCCCCACCTGCCAAGCATGTCCCTCAGTGCCATATTTATGCACTTCTTGAATGCTGCTGGGGGTGGTGACTCCACTGCGGGGCAGCCCGTGCTGGTGCATGACCATTGGAAGGGAAGAAGAAGAGTTTGGAGAAATTTCTCTGGAGGGATGGAGCTCACTTAGTGAGGCAGGGCCGGCCCTCAGATTCTTCCATCCTCAACTTCTGTGAGTCTGCGTTGTTCCAACAGCAGCATTTCATCTGCTCTGACTTCTAGGGAAAAGCATCTTACAACCTTGGAAGCAAATCCCGGTGCCTTTATCTCAAATGCTTGGGAGGCATTAACCCAGCTCTCCCAACGTGGGGCAGGAAGGGGGGAGCCTGCAAACTCAGCCAGAGCGGGCTCGGCTTTGAGCAGCCTGAGTGCCACGGAAAAACATCGGGTTTCTGAACACACGAAGTCTGAGCGATGTTACTGGTATGAAATGCGAATAAATAAATAAAAAAAATTCCATCCATTCCTCTGGCAAAGACAGCTGGGCATTTGGAGTGGCGGTGTTTGAAATGCAAAATGTACCTCATTGGAGAGTTGTTTGATGCCATTCATCTTCCGCCGCTTGTTTGCGGTGCGCGGCGGTAAACCACGCTTTGTGAAAGCGCTCCGGCTGGCTCGGAGCTAAGGAAGAGCGAAGGATGCTAATATCAGACGTTTCAATCCCCACTGCAGCCTGCATTGCTCAGAGCAAGATGACTTGCAAACATCTAACACAAATGAGGAAGATGAATCGTATTCAAGGTCAGGCTCTATGCCAGGAAACTGATAGAGGCAAAAGCGGTTAATTGCTTTAGATTCCAACAGCCCCCAAACGTGCCCTGCGTGCAGACATCCCTGCCTCGCGCTGCCATGGACCTCGCCACCCAAACCGGCAAATAAAAGAGGAAATGGAGGTGCTTGTCGTGATTTTTAATGTCAAAATTAGATTCACTGTTGCCTTATGGTCTCTGTAATTACCAGACATCGCTCATCGTTTTTCTCAGCTCAAGGGATACTCTGTTATTGACCTCACTGGGAAGATATAAATACATTACTGAATGGAAATATCACCATTACCGTTGTGGGAAGGTCTGCACTGTGGCTCAGAGGACCCTGAAATCTTTATCTCAGTGTACCTACAGCAGAGAACACCTGATACTGTTGGTGTGATAGCAAACCAAGAGTTTTTAGAGGAGAAAAACCTATTACTGATTATTAAAGAGAGCTGCAACAGCGAACCGTGAGCTGCCGGAGGAGACAAACAGATAAAAATCGATCAGCACAGCCCTCGATGGAGGTGCTGGGGGCATAGCAGCCTCTTGGTCCCAGGATGATGAGGCCACCAAGGTGCTCAGGAGTGCAGCAGGGCAGCAGGGCCATGGAGTCATGGGGTTTCCCAGGATGTGATGAGCACCAAAGGCAAGAGGAGGCTGGCAAGCTGCTCCTATGGAGCTGTGCGTGGCGGTGGGATGCTTTCATGAAGCTGTGCATTGAGCATTATGGTGGTAGGATGGTCTTATGGAGATGTGCATGGAGCATCGTGGTGGTAGGATGCTCTTACGTAGTGACTCACAGGGTATGGTGGTGGTGGGATGCTCTTCTGATGCCATGCATGGAACATTATGGACACCCCCCAGTGTAAGGGCCCAGCCCAGAGTCCAGCTGTGCAGGGGGATCACCGCAGACCGTGTTTGCAACCCCAGGCAGGGATGCCCATCTATCAGCTCCCCACTGGTGGCAGCCCTGGGGATGCCCGAGTCCCACACCCCCCAAGATGTCCCAGTGAAGCACTGCATGCCACGGGGGGCTGTCCCATGCCCACACCAAGCTCCCAGGAGCTGGGAACATCTCCGAGCCTTCAGGTAGGGGATCAGCTGTCCTTGTCCACAGCAGTCAAATGCTTTGCTTTCTGGCTCCTTGGGCAGCCTCTGAGTAAATAGCAGTGCTCAGCAGGGAGACCTTCCAGGCATCCACATTCCTCTCTGAATGAGGGATCATGGACCACTGGGGCTCCCGATGCCGCCATCCCCATCAGCCCCTCTTGTCCCTGCCCTGCTTCCCTCTCAGTGAGCATGGTCAGAGCTCGTGGACCTGGGGAGGTTTCTCTGCTTTCCCTTCTGCGCAGAACCCCCCCGTGTTTATTTACTCGAACTCAGAGCTGTTGGAGAGAATTGCTGCGAAAGAGAGAAGCGGGCCCTCAACTTGGGAGAGCTGAGAAGCCCACGGGATGTCTGAGGGATGGAGGGGTGAGCAACCATCCCACGCAGCTCCGGGCCGTGTTCTGCTCCCAGCTGGGCCCCTCCAGCCCTAACTGGGATGCAGAGCATTGTGTGTCCTTGGAGGGAGCACCGCTGTGCCAGTGCCTGCACGGCATGGCGCCCAGCCCTGCTGTAAATGTCACGCCAGTGTCTGTAAGTGCCCTAACATATTGGAGATCAGCGGCAAGGGGAGGGAAGATGACCTTTTGCATTTTGCCCAGAGCAGGCGAGGGTAATGCAATTATAATTCCATGTAATTCATCTCCTGACACTGCCATGGCTCAGAGCAGTGCAGAGAAACGTGGGACCCTGAATGTGGCTTCCGGGCATGTCCCAGCTGGGGCAGCATCCCTGAGCCCTGCGGTGCTCATCTGTGCCCAGCACTGCGCTGGGTGCAGCTGGAGCTGTGGCACAGCAGCCCAGGGCACAGCACAACACACACACAGCAGCTGTTTGGCACCGAGCTGCAATTTGTCTCTCTGCTGCGGGGCTGTCCTGTGCATTTGTAGCTGCCCCAGCACAAAGCATCCTCCTGGCAGAGGGTGTGAGGGGCTGTGACCCCCCAATGCTGGTGCTGGAGAGCTGCATCTGCTTGGCATTGTTTTTCATTGTTAACTGATGGCATTCAGCTGGCCGGGGATTTTATCCCCCATAAATCCTCCAGGAACCCCAAACAGCAGAGTCAATCTTGGTAAGATGTGTGACAATGGAACCTCATTTTGCTGCAAGTTTGGTCTGTGGGTGCATCACTCCCAGTGCCTACCAGCCTCTCCCAGCACTAAATAGGAATCACACAACGTTTAAAGGTATTTTGCTGCTGAGTGGTGAAACAGAAACCAGTAGAGAGGAAATGGTTTGGTTAATAGGAGCGGTGTGGAGGAGTGCGCTGTGCCAGGCACCGCTGGCATCTGGAGGCTATGTGCTCCTGGTTTTGGATAAATTAACCTCGGGTTTGTGTGACTGGCAGAGTTCTGGGTGACGTGAAGCTCAGAGCTGAAATCTCACGTAGGCCATCGAGGCGAGGATTTGCTCAGCCCCTGCTGCAGTCAGCCTGGAGGACACAGCGGGGACATGGCCTGGGGACCACATCACTGCATGCACTGTGCACCGTGTCTGCAAAGCACAGAAAAATGGCTCCGTGCAGGAGAGCCAAGGAAGCTCCTCCATCAGCGCCGGGTGATGTGGGCTCAGTCAATGAGAGCAATCTCCTGAACGCCAGCCCCCAATCCATCTCTTCGTGCAGCCCTTCGTGCTTCCCACGGATCCTTCACAGTACTCATCTCAAAGGTGCCAGGAAATACATCTTCTCCTTTTAAAAACTGCCCCATCCTTGGGCAGAGGAAACAGAGATGGCTGTTTTCCATGCACGAGGATGTGTCAGCCCTCTGCCCAGGTGGGAGGCAATGGATGCGAGGACGGATGCTGATGGACCTGGTAGGCAGAAGGTTGTTTCCAACCCCAATGATTCTGTTCTCAGTGTTTGGCTCCCAATGTCAGGACAGCCCTGACTCACAGCTCTCTCCTCCTTGCAAATCTGTGTCAAATCCCAATGCTTATATCTGGATTTGTTGGCTTCTTTTGGAGCAGCATGAAGGGAAAAGCAGAAGTTAAAACAATACAGCACCTCCCAAGTATGGATTGGATGTAGTAACTACCTTCTTATTTTATAACAGAAAAAAATGTGTCCTGCTTATTTTGGAAGCATGGATTTTTCTATGTGAAGAATGGGAAGGCGTTTCTCCAGTCGATGCCATTTAATTACACCACAAAGCATTAAGGAGCAGAGCTGAACCCCCTGCTTCCCGCAGCCCTCTGTTGAGGACAGGACCTGTCTGTACCATCGCTGCCCCACAGGCCCCTCTTCCCTTGTCCCTGTGGGCAGGATGGAACCCCCAGCTCAGGCTGCCCATGGCCTTGGGCACCTGCAGTGCCGGAGCCCCTCTGCCCTCATGTTTTCTTCTCCATCTGTAGTGGTCCCCAGGACCACCTGCATGGCCAAGCCATGCCCACCTGGCAGTGCAGAACACCAAAGGGCGCTCACAGAGAGGCAGAACATTTACATTCACAGCTCTGCCAGAGGTTGGGGATTTATCTCCGTCCTGGGAGGGAGCCTTATTAGTGGCTTTTGGGTACACGCTCCTGAATAATGAGGACAATCCTGTCTGGGGAAGATAAATCCCAGTATAATGATGCCATTGTCTTTCCTTATTGTAACTCTCTGTCAGCACCTCATTTAACTGCTGTTTTACCCAAAGATTTTGACAGCCTGCTTTAGCACAGGAAGGATAACACAATGCTTCTTAATTGCCACCAAACCTAAAATTAACGCTGGGCTAATGAGCGTGCGCCCAGCCCATGGGGGCCAAGGGGCCGAGCATGGAGGGCTTCTGGCTGCCAGAAACACAGACATCACCCAACGCATGCACACCGAGGAGGAGGAGCAGCAGGGAGAGGGGAGGAAGAACCGGAGGGCACAGGGCATGCACGGTGCCCACTGTCCTCGGGATGCAGCAGCAGCCA